GTGTCCTCTATTTTTTATCTGCTAACTTTCCGTAGCAGATCATTTTTTCGATCGGTGTTTTTTTATAAAATCACCAGAACTATCATTAAAAACTATCAGGAACTATAGAACTCGACTGCATGCGACAAGAACTCTCTTTTATTTTTGATCTGCTAGAAAATGATCTGCTACGGGAAGTTAGCAGTATCATTTTTTCGATTGGTGTTTTTTTGGATAAAATCACCAGAACTATTACTAAAAACTATAAGGAACTATAGAACTCGACTGCATGCGACAAGAACTCTCTTTTATTTTTGATCTGCTGGAAAATGATATGCTAGGTTCACGAACATGTTTCCGAGTAATTTATAATCATTAATAAGTTGCAACAAAAAAGCGTTGTTTATGCAGCGTTATTTATTTTAAAATGCACCTTTAATCAGTTAATAATTTTGCTTTTATTTAACATTTTTATAGTAATTGCGTGTATGTATTATATTTATCATTACATATTTAATCCAGTAAACAAAATGTTAGCAATGTTAACAAATTGACAGTAATTGATCAAATTTAATGCTATCAATCTGATAATATTGCTAACATTCTGCCATTTGTATAAAATATTGTATAAATTCACAAAGTAAATTTTTCAATATTTATTCGTTTTTACTCCTTGATTTCAAGTCGCTAATTATCCACTTCGATATGCAACAATAATAATAATATTAAATTTATATGTTAATTCTTGATATTTATTTTATTATTGCATAGTTTTGGTTGTTTTTATCGAACATGGCGATATTATTAAAAACACCATATCATTACAATATCTAGATAATATTCCTTTTTGTGCATTAGTAGTATTATTGCATAGTATTATATGCATTATTAGTATAAAAAATATGAAATTAAAAAACTCACCAATTTCGATGTTTTATTTCTGCAATCGCCTGCAACTTTTTCTTCTTCTTCTCTCCTCCTCCAGAGTTGAAATAATACACTTGTGTTATTTCAAATGTACAAGAAATCATAACCAAAAAAAGCAATTCAAAATCTATTCTATTTATCTGCACTTTAATGCTTTGAATAAATGTTTTTCTTCTTTTTTCACATCACTCAGAGTTTATTATTTCTTTTACTTTATATTTTAAGTGCTCAAAATAAATAAAAATATGCTAAAAATGGAAAATATCAAACAAATGATTGAACTGCACAGCTGATATAAAACTTTGCAAGTGTAAAACAGAGGGACAAACCTGCGCATGCGTAACATGAGCGCTATTTAAGATATATCCACACAACTTGCGTAGCACATAATCTTAGGCTTCAGCTGCGTACATATTTACTATAAATTCAATGTATAATTAATTAAATTTTTCACGGAACAAAATGGTAAAATAAAGAATACAAAAATTTTTATTAATTAAATAAAAGCTGATATACATAAAATTTATTACCTTGTTACATCTGTAATTAATCTTACTTATACACCAATTTGTTGCAATAAATTTAATTGTTCTCATCTCTATAAAATTTATATACTTGATGAAGGAATCAGACGATTGTCCCACATGTTCCGCTCGTAGGAAATTCTTTCGTCGAAAAGGTCTCGCGACACTGCACAACTTGTATGCGTGCGCATCATTCATGGCGAATCGTGTGGATCCGTTCGTGTGCAGCAGGCGACACAGTTGACAGCGATAGTGGTTTTTTGGTTTTTCAGTGGTTCGCGCTGCGTTCGAGAAGTTAAGTGTATTTTTCGAGCGCGACAACAAGGGTCGAGCTCAACTTTCCTCGGAAAAACGTACACATACAGCCGGCAAGACGAAGCTCAAAATGCCATTGGTAAGTCCGTCCTTTGCATGGAAGTCCCCTTTTTCTGGCTGTCATCTCAGCCAAAACACGCTCTTGTCTCGCTCTCCTGCATTGACAATCCGTTCTTCGAAAATGCCTTCTGCTTTTGTCGATTCTTAAATTATAAGCAATCGTGATGAAACAAGCGGGAACGCGACTGCCAGTCTTCGCGATTTTTGAGGTGAGACCTGGGTGCGGTTTTGTGGTTAGCTACAAATGACATTAAAAATCAGGGGAAACAGGAGTTTTCGAAGAAGAAAATGGAGATCAAAACACAAGCATTAGGTTTTATTTGATGGACAGTTCATTTAAAAGAGTTTGTTGGAAGTATCATTTAAAAAGACCAGTTATAACTTATAACAGAAAAGTATGTCAATGTATGCGGGCTTATGCTAATGTTAAACTGTGGCTCCTATCAGTAATAATATTTTTTTAATGTTTATTAATTGACAAATTCTAATGTGACAGTATATTAAATACATATTTAAATGTTTTAATGTTTACAAAAAAAGCAAATGAGAGTAACAGAATTTTTAAGTGGAAGAACTTGAAGATAGTTATGCGATGCATCAATATTGTATTTTACTTTATAGACCGCAAGTTCGAAGAAGTCATTATGCGTACAGACCGAAGAGGTTGTTGACGAGAGAAAAGTATGTTAGTGTACAAGAATCCTATATTAATTATCGATATCAACAGTGATGTTTCCATAATTTACTATTTGTCCAATTAATATCTAAAAGTATATTATATATATGTTACATATTTGTGAAGAATAACCCTGAATACAAACTACAGATTAATAGAATACCCATTTTTTAAACAATATTTCTGAGATAATAGGAAAATACAAGGCTGTATCTTTTCAGGGTAATCACGCTGCCCTCACGCCGCTGGAAGACATGTCCGCGGGACGAGGGCAAGCAGGTGGAGGGCCTCCTCAGAATTGTCAGAAAGTTTTTATACAGCGTGACTACAGTGATGGCACAATGGTCAAATTTCAAACACGATTTCCAACAGAATTGGAAAGTAGGGTGAGTATTTTTACATTTTTAATGAAATTTTGAAAGTTAGGAGAAATAAATAAAACATATTTATGATGTATTTTCCGATTTAGTTGGATAGACAATTGTTTGAGTACACGATCAATCAGTTGAATAACTACTTTGCGGAAGCGGAGCGTGCTAGTTGTTCTACTTACTGCGAGAGCTGCCTATACTGTCTCACGGGTTATCTGATAAGTATATGCACCGAGACGCATTATGAAAAGTGTCTGCGCAAAGTTGCCAAATTTGTCAGCGAGCAGAACGATCGAGTGTATAAGCCGCGTGGCCTCTTGTTAACGGATCCAACGACTCGTGGACTCAGGCTAATAGAGATCTCGGTACTGGATAGACCTGCGTCGTGACTGCATATTAGCCGATCCAGGGAGTTCTTCATGCGACCCGTTGCGCAGCAATCCGGATATTATCTTGCCAGAATCACGGACATGCACGTGCTTGTGAGTGTCTTTCAGCGTAATTACGGGGCTTACCGGCTGGTTTGAGCCAGTTGTACAAAGTGCGGCAATCCTAAAATGTTTGAGAAAAATCAATTCTTCGTCAACGATGATATCTTATAGGCCGCAAACCACTCAGGTGCACAATGAGCTGGATTTCTCTCGCTGTCGGGTCAAGCCTTTTCCTTAATCCTAAGAGATAAATAGATTGATACATTGGGCAGATGTAATATGTGTGTGGAAACCCACGGAATATGGGGGATACGTATTGCGGGAATGTACATGATTGATTCGTGGAGATTTCATTCTAGATTTATCTGTTGAACTAATTATATAATAAAAAACTGATATACAAGGTTGGTCTAATTGCAGCAAGAGAGTCCCGCGTTTATTGGCATTTGTGGTACTTCAATTCTAAGTGATAGCTCCTACAATCTCGAGGGAGGGCGTGCATCAAAGCGCGTGGATGTGTAACAAAGGTGTGCCGTGGCACTTCTATAAGTTCAATTTTCTATATGCGTACAGAAAATATAACATACGAAAGTATATGAGGTATGCACGGCGAATCAGGGTGCGGAGAAAAACATGACTTTGTCGTTCGCATTTTTGCATGTAGTTAAACGACGCAAGTTATTTTGCGCGAGCCGCTACGTTGATTCGTCATGTACACGATGGGGTCTACATATTTTTTTACTGTTCATTTATGACTTTATCGTATCATCTGCATTTAATTAATGAGACGTGAATGGGATGCGTGTCTGCGTGAATTATTTATGCGATGATGGCATTCGATATTAGTATTTCTGCACATATTATGTTTTAGTTCTATCAAAAAACCGAACTGAAAACTATAGCTCCAATGATTTTCGTTCTCGATAAACATTTACACAAATGGATCTAAGTTTTTCTTATCTTCCGCGATGTATCTTCCATTGCGCTTGTGTATCCGCATGCAGAAGCATAAGTCATTTCGCATACGTATGTACACCGAATGAGATATCTTGTTTATCGCGCGAATGGATGTCTCGCGTCAACAAAGAAGATAGATTCGATCGAAATTACTGGCACAAACACTTGTTGCACTAAAGAAACCCGAGGATTGGCTAAGAAAAAAAAATGTTATATAAAAGCGACGATATAAAGCAAAATGTGAAACGTAGATTACGTTCAATCAATCGGCATTGTGATCAAGGATAAGCCGGAACCATTTGCGATGCATTTGCGATGCGAAATTTCGTATGCCGCTTTAGTCTGCTCTCCGAATCGAAACTGGAGGACTATCGCCCGTTGCCTATTGTTGCCAGTCTCCGTTCGTGAGTTCTTGGTGTCCGCTCGCCATGCTGGATGCCTTCTATTCCGTTCCTGTTAATTAGTTGTAAATGACAGTGATCTCTAACGATACAACGACGCAACACCATGTCTAGTTTTTAATTAATTAATTAATTTCTATCACGCGCTTTGGAAGCCTAAAACATTGTAACATGTAATGGTAAGTGCTGTTAGAAACAGCGCGAATTTTGATTTGAGTGCAATATTATATTATTTTTATCATCGCGGCATCGCATGTAATGGCAAACGATCTCTCTCGTTCTTGATCACAATGTGCGCGGAGCCTGTCCGACGTTGTAATGCGACGTATTGCTGAAAGAATCTTGCCAAAAAGCGTGTCACTGCCTCGACGTACGATTTCTAGGCGCGGGAGAGCGTCGTTGAAGAAACTTCGTACGAGATCATCGAAGACAGAAGACTAAAAAAATCCGTTTTCTGAAATTGGATGGAAGAAGCAATTTCAGAAGCGGGAAACGACAAGAAGGGGATCTCCTGGGGAATTGTAGAGAATTTCCGAATTCTTTTGGACGTCGCAATATTACGTCCTAGGACTCTGACTGCATGCAATACGCATGTTTGCATATAATGTACATATAGCGGATTAATCGTCGACATACGGAGTATCGAAGCAAAAAAGAAGTAAATCGTTTGTTACACTTAATTTAATTTAGTAGGACCAATATTGGATTGATGATCCGTAATTGTAAAGGATACCATCGTACGAGTGTAATTTCTAAATGTTTTAATAATAAAAACGGCGTAAATATATTAATATATATATATAAATATATATATATCCTTGGAGATCAATCCTTGATTTTTTCGATGATTTTATGCCTAATTAATATAAAAAAATCGAAATATAAGAAATCACTGATTACAACGGAAGATTGCGTAGCTTAACATTACGTATAGTTTAAGCGACAATTATATTTTTTGCAATAATGTATTATATTGACCATTTTTAATATGTACAAAACATTTTAAATATTATTTTTGCATTCAATAGTAGCTTTTGTTGGACTTTTTGTATGTCTTTATTTTTTTCTTCGTTCCTTTTTCTTCGTTCCACTTTAAAAAATAAATGTGTATTGTTTTAGATTAAGTGCGGAAAGTGTAATTATAGAACAGACGAAATTTTTGCGATATTATTGGTTACAGTAAAACGGACAAAATTAGAACAGACGCAATTTTTGTAATATGATTGGTTCGTTAGAATTCCAATTATGACTCTTCAATAAGTTTGAAATAACGGTTTGTCATAGAACGCGCCGTAATGGCTCACGCTCACATTCTAATCGCTCCCAGTCGTATTTCTCGCGCTTGTAAGTTTAAAAAAAGTGAGTCTCGCGTATGAAGAATTGTCGGAGGTATCTCGCAAAGCGTTCTTTATGACGTGAACATGGTAAGCAATTGTTATTTTACATTGATATTGTGATTTTGATGCCCACGATCTAATCGATCGCGTCGCGACAGTTGCGAGGTTGGATTTGATCGTTTCTGTATTTTCATGATTGTAGTTCTCTAAAAGTGAATTTCACGCATATTGGAAATTTCTCGTGAAATAGTTGTCGTAACACGAACCCTGTATATGGCTATTACAGATTAGTGCTGTGATTTCGACATTTGCGATTTCGTCCGTGTGTCTGAAGTCAATTGAATTCTGTATATTTCTTGACCATTATTTTCTCGTCGGAATGCAGCAAGCATACGACAACAATCATTGTCAGGTATGTACATTTTGTCATTCAGAGTTAGCTGCGTTGATTATGTTTATTGCAATAATACGCTATGTTGATTATTTCTAATATTAAATAAAACATTTTGAATTTTATTGTTGTTTAGTAGCTCTGTTTGTTTAGTTGCATTTTTAATTGTATTTATTGTCTCTTTTCGCTCTTTTCTCTTCCAAAGTATAAATGCACGCTCATTTCGTATTCAATGCAGAAAGTGCAATTAAAACAAACGGAACAAATATTGCGATGCGAAGCTCGTCGCTTTAATCGTTTCGATTTAAGAATCGCAAGATGGCTCTTCGATCTGGAATAGCAAAGTCACGGAACGCGCCGCGGAGACTCGCAGAGTTGCATTCGAGTTGCTTCGTATATTTCTCGGGATTATAACTGTCCAAAAGTAAATCTCGCGCACGAAAAAGCGTTGAAAGTGTCTCGTAAAGTGTTCGTCGTGATGTGGGCGCGATGTGCAATCGTTATTATACGCCGATATCGCGACTTCGTTGTCTCTCCGTTCTGCATATCCGAGATCGAGCGCGCCGCGACGAATGGCGGAGTTGCATTTGAATCGTTTTGTATTTTCGCGAATGTTGCGAGTTTGAAAGTGAATCAGTACGCGAAATGAAGCGCGCGCGAAAAATTATCGCGAGTGTATTATAGTGTTGGATTTTCTTGGACTCATAACGCACATAACCGCAAATATGTGCCAATGTAGCGGTTTCGGCGTCAGAAGCTTTCTACTTCAACTGCTTTCTACTTCTGCGTGCCTGGAATTGTCCGAAATCATCTTTATATATTTCCTATGGCCGTTATGCAGCTTTCAAATGCAGTGAAGGAACGCTTGGTCCACGATCATCACTAGGCAAGTACATGCATGTCATTTTGAATTTACATAAAGTGTTTATCAACGTGTGCGTATTATTGCAATATTACCGATAATCGGCTAGATCAAAATTTTTTCCACTATCTCCGTGCCCACTAGAGGACTAGCCCATTTGCTAGTTATGAAATTTTATTCTTTTATTAGTAAATCTTTTTCAAAGTGTGCCAACAAATTATTTCCAACAATAAATTCTCAAATATTTTTTATCTCCAATTTTACGTTATATTTTATTACAATATTAACTTTTATTGTTAATAAAATATATGGTCTCAAATATATAAATAGTCAGTAAAAACAGTAAGCAAAATGTTAGCAATTTTTAAATTATAATTTAGAAATATGATAAAAATCCTTAAATTTATTATTAAGTATTAATTTTTTTTCTATTATTCTTTTTAGAATATTTGAAGCAAATATATATGTATTTATATATCCAGAAAGCCAAATATTAACAAGATTTGATCAAGTTTGTCAATATTTTGATTAATATTTGGCTTTTTGGGAATATAAACACATATATATTTGCTTCAAATATTCTAAGAAGAATAATAAAAAAAAAATTAATACTTAATAATAAATTTAAACATTTTTATCATATTTCTAAATTATAATTAAAAAATTCTGTTTAATTAAAATAGCGCGTAATATTTTTTGAATAGTGCTTTGTTTAAGACAAGGCTTAAATGTGGAAAAAGCGACCGTATCTTTATTGTACAAAGGTTTTAAATAATTCCGCAACTATACTCGCGCTTTTTGAGCACATCCAGATTTTATTTAACCATGTGCAACAATTTTTGATAGGCATATTTATTCGCAGCTATATCAAAAGACTAGAAACCAGTCTCACTCTCGTGTTGCTCAACTCTCAGATACATTCGAAAACGTAATTTGCATTTGAGAAATTCTATAGAACATAATAAACTGCGCTTCGATTTTGTATGCACGAATTTTTCGCAATATCCAACGCAGTTTAATCGATACGATAGCATTAATCGCAAGAGGAATTAAATTACCGCGCATTAATTGCGTCAAGAAATCGGAATTATCCCGTCGGGATGTGTACGTAACGAAAACGTAAATATATCACGTAAATATATCACGTAAATGAGTGACGTAACGCGCATTTGCCGATCTCCTGAAGGGTCAATGTACAAAACTCGAACTGCAAATAATTGATGGACTCGCGATCATGCTTGCGTCACGGATTATATACGTTGCGTGCGTGTGTACGATTTAATGCTATCATTGCCTCCGTTTTACGAGCACCGATTACCGCGACACGAAAGTGCCGGTGCTTGTTATGTACTCGCGATCGTTGTGTACACGTATACAATGAGACTGAAAGATAAATACTCTTGGATTTATGCGATCGTGTCAACAATTATCCGAGTCGACTCTGAATTCCTTGAAAGAAGGACCTTTTCTTACAAGGTAGAATTTTTCTCACATACGAAATTGAAAATGCTGTATGCTAATTTTCTGAAAATTCTTTCCTTACAAAATTCGACATCGTTGAAATTCGTTTACTTAAAATTCCTTATCTATATAATTTTTAAAATATTTAAATTTCACTCACTTCAGCTCTTACTTGTTTATGCAAAATTTAAAATCTCTCTAATATACATATATTCACATAAAATTATTAATTTGTAGAATTTAAGATGCTTACAACTCTTTGCTTAAAATATCTCGCTAAAAGATTTAAGGATACGAAACTCAGTCAACATAAAAAAAATCGACTTGAGCAATTTTTTTTTTATCTTAACCATATCAATTGTTCATCTTCGTTATCGCGGAGATCGCTCTGCGAGGAAAAATTTGAGATAATGAAACAATGAAATTGCGCTCGTTTCCTAATTTAAATTGCACATCGTGGAGCAGCGTGTCCGCGAGTCCGACTTCGCATGTCTCTGTAAAGCGTCACGTCATCGATCCCTTCGTCCCGTCGAATCGTGTATAGCCTAGAATACATCATCGAGATGTGATACAAAAAGATTGTCAAAATTGAACTCGTCATTGTCACACACAAATCATTATCCGACGACGCCCGACGTGTTTACACGCACACGCAGCACACTCCCTCGCGCTCTACGGGATTGCGATTATGAGCAATGTCGTTGTGAGGTGCAACGACCGACCGTCAAGTTCTCTAGCCTACCTAGCCACCGACTAAATGTACATGTTTTACGTAATACCGTGTCTACGTGTGTGTTATCGCCTTAAAACCTACGGGCAAACAGTCTTCTCGGGATCCGACGCCAGATCCTTTCTTAGATTACCTCGCATTTTTCTCTTTCTTTTTCTTCTTTTCCCCTCTTCCTACTTTCTCGGGAGTTATGTGTTTGGTTCACTGTCTTCACGCTGCAAGAATTCGTCAGTTTAGCATTATTACTTCGGTATTTTGATTCATCGTTTTCTACGTTTGACAATAATGAGTCGGAATCAGTAAGATGCGTTCGAGTATATTTTTCATTTCAGTAATGTTCGCCAGCAATAGTTATACAAATATGCACGTGATTATATAATTTTCTCTAAATTTTACACGTCAATGAGACGCTAACTCTTCTCTCGAGTACAACTTTGATTCGTGTCCAATGCGAGAAAGTAAAATTCGAAATTTTCTCTCCATATTTTTATAAAATACTGAGAAATAAGTAATTATGAAATATTATAATTGATTTCTCGATAATTATGTCAGAGCTTTTTGTTAATACGAAATGTGAATTTCTTTATTTTCTCTTTGATCTGTTTGAATTACTTTTAGCAATTGTTGCGTTTTCTGCTCGCCAATATTGTCAATTTTTTCTATCAGATCTTTAAAAACTCATTTTTTTTGCTAAAATATTTGAGTTTTAATTAACAAAATTTCTTGTCGCTTGTCTTTTTTTACCTTTTCATTTTTTCATCGATTTTAAATCTTATCAAGTGAGATTTTTTCGGATTACAACCGACCACGATCGTGGTATGATTATTTCTGCAAATGTCAATGTCTTTTTCAAAAAGGATTCATTTCCCATAGTATTTCGCTGCTATGAAAGTAGCTTCAAAGTTTTGCTTTAGATAATTCATTCTGTCACTCTAAAGAGTAATCATATCGCGTTGTCAGACAACGCTTTTTCCGTCGCGAATCGCGCTCTTGATTCCATCAATCTGTTAACATCGCAAAAGCGACTTTTAGCGTAAAGCTCTCTTTGCATGACAGCCGCACTGTACGCGGATTGCCTGTCAAACTTCAGCTTCCAGGCGATTCTAACGTCAAAGATTCCCTCTTCCACGACCTGGAAGTCGCGATACGCGTTTAAATATTCATCTTCCGAATACCGCCGTTTGTCGGTTATCACTCGGGAATGCTTTCTAGAGTCGTCGAAGTTAGCCGTCAAATGAGTAGACATAGCTTGTTTCGATTTTTCCTCTCCGGGAGCAATGCTTTCGACTTGCCGGCGTCTTCCGAGCTGCTCCTGGTGTAGAGAGACCTGCTGATGCGATGTCGCATCCCTTTGCTCAGCGTACGCCCGCCCTTTCTCAACGAGGCGAATCTGCCGAGCGTCGACTTGTCCGGCGGCTGTTCTTCTTTCTTGTCGGCATGCGCGCAATTCAGAGTCGTAACTGTGAATTCAATGTCTCTGGGCTCGTAGGAAACGAATTCTTCCACAGGTTCCTCGATCGTGTCGCGATCGATCCACGTGAGCCCCATTTCGACCTTCTCCGCCAGATCTTGCCAGTGTTTTCGATTTTCCATAGTACCTTCGTAAAGCGGCAGTATCCACGGGAACGTTTCTGCCATGACCTTGTAGAGAGGCAGGCAGATGACGTCGATAAAGCCAACTTGCATCTGTGGCAGCTCGTCCCGTCTCTCGCGATCCATCATCGCTACCGGTTGTTGATTCAGTTGAAGACGCTCCAGGTCGCCTTGATCGAAGAACTCGTCCGCCACCAGCTTCGCCACGCGATGCTGTACGTCCCAGGGTTTTGCTATCGCGCTCACGTCGCACGCCGTCATCATCATGCCGCACAACACTGCGAAAAGATGGATAAAGTTAATTAGAAGTTTCGAAAAACTTATTCAAACATATTAAGCCGAGACGCTTACGTTCTTTTTTCTCCTCGCTCTGCCAGTCGAACTCGCCCTCGTCGATCACTTCCATGAAGCGATTCCGCTTCTTGAAATACATCGCCAGATCGGTCGACAGGATCGCGCTCTCCACGACCTTCATCACTCGCCTGTAGTCCTCCATCGACAGGCTCTGGAAGATGTTGTTGCTGTCGGAATTCAGAATCATGACGCACTGATCGAAGTGATGGTGCTCCATCGTGCTAGTCGAATACAGAATCGCGAGTGGGGATTCCGTTTTCGTTTGGAAGGCGTTGTTGGTGCCGCGGTGATCCAGATCGTGGCAGAGGCAGGCCACTAGGAGCCCGAGGATCTCCAGATCGGTCATGAATTGTTCCATCTTGCCGGTTTTCAGCATCGCGAACATCGTCTGCGCGACGTTCAGCGCGTGCCGCCAATTGTGATACTTTACTGGCCTGTGGAGGAAATAATTTTCTCAATTCTGTTGGATTTAAAACTACATTCGGTATTTTTAGAATACGTCGCGTCGAATGAAGAAATAAATTTAGCGTGACAAAAATAATCGAAAAGCAAAGAAAACTGATAATGAGATACAGATTAGAATATCCACCTGTAATTTTTCTTCACACTGAGAATCCATCTGCACAGAACGTCATACGGTATGTGGAATTTCTGTATGAGATCGCACTGCATGAACATCCTGATGGTAGCGCGGCACGTGTCGTCGTCGGTTAGGTCGAAGTCGATGAACGTGAAACTGTAAAGATTGTAGATTTCCGCGGACGGTATGTGATCGGAGACGAGACGCAGCGCGTCGTCGTTGTTGGCGGTCGCGTGATAGCTCAGACACTCGAGGGCCACCTTCTGCTTCGCCATCAGCTTGCACGCAGACTCGTACATCTGCGTGTTGTGAATGCCGAGACCGCAGAAAATAGCGAACGCCTCGAATATCGATACGTCCGAGTCGGTGAAAGACGTGCCGTTGTCCTGCAAATAATTTTTTCTCGTTACTAATAGATACTCGTAACAATAGATAGATAGATTGCTTCTAACGATTTTATCAGAAATTAAAATAAATTAACGCCGCGTAGTTAATATTGATTAGAAATGATAATACTGATTTATAATAAGAATATTTTATTACAGTATCAGTATTTTAATATTCTATTAACATTAATATTTCATAAATCATATTTTTCTATATATTATAATTACATGATGACGTTACGTGAATATTTAAATGATGCAACATATTTATTGCTTAATACTCGGTGATATATATTCAAGTAACGTACAAGAGCAGCAATAGAAGAGAATCGCATATGATGACATAATATCAGGCAAATAATAGATTATTGGGGATTAAATGCGAATTATTAATAGTATACATGCAAATTGTCAATTACGGAATACATATACGGAATACATATAAAATGGATTATTTAAGATTATTGCAGATTATTCCGATTGTCAGATAAAAACTGAGAAAGAGGCTATCGATTCAGACCTTGTTGATCAATTGAGCAACTCCGATAACGATTCTTTGTCCGTTCACGATCGGCATGCACAGGATACTTCTGATAGGCTCCTTTCCGCTCTCCATCACACCCTTCTTCAACCACGTGGCGACGTCGCCGATGTTGAGAATCTGACCCGTCGCGGCGACGTACCTCGCGATCTGTCCCAAAGAACTCGATAGATCGTTGTGACTCGGCCGATAGACCCGGGCCTCTTGCGTTTCATTTTCCATCTCGAAGACCATGGTGAATTTATTGTCCTCGGTCGATGCCTGAAGAGAATAGGCAATTGAAACGTCGTACAAAGATTACTTGGCAATATTTCTTTACTTCCATTTCTATTTTTGCGCTTTCAAAAAGTTGCCATTTTTAAACTACTTAATATGGATTTGGGTTCCTAAAGTTATAGCAAGCTACATTTCACAAAATAATTACAAAAGCTTCATTACTCGGTGCGAGAGAAAAATAAAACTTCAAAGAATAAAAAAAAAATCTTTAGTTTTTCTCTTCAGAAAGAATTCGTAAGTTTTGAGCTATTGAGAAAAATTCTAGTCAGTTGGCGAACGTTGAAGTAAGTTAAGTGAAAGAACAATAGATTACGTTTGTTTTATTCGAGAGCGCTGAAAGACAATTGAATTTCATAGATTTATTCATGTATGTTTTGATTTACGAAATCGCGATCACTTACGTGCTGTTGGAAAATGTCCTCCATGTCGATGTTGTTGCTCTGAGCCGCCAGGAAAGAGAAAAAGATCATCAGACTTACGAATTCGAGTAACGTGTGGCGGTGCCACTCACCTCTCTTCTCGACAACGGCTTTCTGCTCTCTTGCACCGACTTCCCGGGCCGCTCGACAATTTTTTCAAGATGTCCCTGGAACGAGACTTAGCATCTCTTATTGTGCTCTTAATTGCCGCGCGAGATGATTAATTAATAGAATTATATATAAATTATATCCGCTTAATTAAATGCGTCATCCGTTTCTATGAATTAAAAACAGACTTTATTTAACACGGTTTGATAGTAATTATTTATATTAACTGCTATATAATTGTCATTTTTACTACAAGCCAAATTTTGTCGTACAGATACATATATAAAACATTATTTTTCAAGTCACATAAATATTTAATATCAAGCATCATGATAATTAAACGAATTAAATATTTTTTTATTCATGCGAAGAATGAATTCTAGAATCTAGAAAAAATATTTTCCTCATTATTTTTTTCTCTTTGCTTAAGAAAAAGCGACAATCTGTTCCAGTTTCAAAGAGAAGCGTATATTTTTTTTATGCCTCTGAGTTTATCACGGTTCAATAGCGATTCAATAGGTTCGATAGCATATTCCAAGCGACGTCGCGCAAGGATCAAATCGACGCATCCTCGCAAACAAAAGTGGACTTACTGCCTCGCCGCAGTCCAGATCCAGCAGATAAACAGCGCATCTCTCGCATTTGAGCAGCTCCTTCGCCTCGGTCATGATTTTCGTCACGAGGCACTCGAGATTGTTCTGTTCCTCGAATATGTTTCTCGCGAGATTGAGGAGTATCTGATTGCGCCGGTACTCCTGCACGGACAGCTCGAACAGCTGCGCGTTCTGTATGCCGATGCCGCAGAACGTGAGGTATCTGCGACAATCGATGCGTCGCGTAAAATTAGACGCGCGATCGTATTAATAAACGTATCGATCGCGCGCGGCGCCGATTATAATTGCATGCACGCGGTAATTACATAGCCCTGTAACCAGCCTTGTGTCATTACGCAATCAGTTAGCGCAATACACTCTCGCTCTGGCGCCTGACTTAAGCGTCCCGAACACTTGCTTATCACGCGTCATTATGCCAAACTGTCAATTCTCACCGAGCGCGCGTCTTTTTTCGCTCACCTTTGGAACACCCCGACGTCCCGGTCGGTGAATTCGTTGCTGCCGTTCGTCTTGTTGATGATCTGAGCGACTCCGATTACGTCGCCCTCGTAATTGCAAATCGGCATGGATAGGATCAACGTCGTCTTGTAGCCGGTCCGCATATCGATGGCGCTGTTGAATCTCGGATCCTGGTGGACGCGATAGAGATATCCATTTTAACTTCGATATCATCGGGAATATGAATGCGTAATTAATTAGCCGTTAAATAATTATTCAGGAAATTAATCATATTTTTGCACGATAGTAGCACGGTTGTTATTGGATTTACACAAGACCGTGCGATTGAACGGAAGGTTCAATGCTCAGTGAATCGATCGAACGAGTGAGGCGAAACCTTGTAAGCGTCCTTGATGTTGATAGTCTCTTTGGTCTGCGCGACGTAACCGGCAATACCAACGCCGAACGGTATTTTGAGCTCTTCATTCTTGGCCCGCTGGACAGCTTCTTCGAGTTCGGTGTCCTGCGTGACATCGAACAGCTTCGCCACTAGATAACGATCCTCGAGGGGTCCCTTGGCCAGGAACAGGCTGCCGCGATCGGCATACGTGAGTAGGCCGACGTTCACCAGGATCTTGTGACAAAGGATGTTGATGTCCAGCTCATTCGCCACGTCCCTTATCAGCTCCATGAATAGGTCGCTCTCGTCCAGTCTTCCGAGCTCCTCGCGGCGACCCATCAGCGAGCTGTGAGTCCTGAAAGGTTTTAACATCTTGCCTGATCGCGAAACGAGCTCCGATTGAGCTCAAACAATTTTAACGTTCAAAAATTGTTTTTCATGTATAAAAAACATCTGATATCTGTATTTTTATTTTATTCATTTAATTTTATTAGATTGAATACTTTAGTGTGACATCGATTTAAGTACGAATATCGTCAAATCGCGGGAATTTATCGAGAACGCTTGAAACATGAGAATGCAAAACAACGTAGTGTAATACGTTATCTCGTTGATTACCTGTTGGGGCTCTTGCTGCGCTTCGCAGGTGAACTCGAGGCCAGCCAGGTCTGAAAGAGATCGGACGTAACGCTGTTGCGTTTGTTCCGATTGAGGAGGTTCTCTTCCGAGTGCACCCTCGGCGCGCTCGGCGTTATCGTTTGCACCACACATGTGTTCTGTAATCGTTGCCGAAGCTGGAGGCTCGCCTTCTCCCGCAGCCACGTTTCTGCTAGGGCAGGATGCGCTTCCAGGTACCTTCGTTGTAAGAATTCCAGCGATTATGCGACTTTGTACGCGATCGAACTTTGTTGATTTGTTGAATTTTTATTAATTTTTTTTGGTACTATTAATATTTTTTATAGTCTTTTTCATATTACGAATAATACAATATGTTGTCGCATGTGGCGATTAGATCATAATACCTTCCGACTCTATCCATGGTGAGATTGTCGTCCTCGTCGTATTCGTGTATAGTGTCCTGGCAGCTGACCCTCTTGCTTCTGCACAGCCTAGCGATTTCAATCTCCTTGACGTCAGTCTTTGTGCTTGTACTTAGGGGTACTTTTGATTCTGGTCGCGCGGACGTTTTCAACTTTTCGGGACTGTCGTTGTCGGTGGAATCAACATTTTCCGCTCGTTCGGGATTGGACGAGCGCACCAAAGGACAGTCGTCTTTCTCCGGTGTCCTCTCGGACACCGGCTTCGTAGAGATCTTCATTGTTTCGAAGTTCTCAAGATTATTGTTGTGATTTGCCTACAAAAGGCGTTGCAGCGAAATTATCTATTCGCTCGCACAACTTTCTCTTTTGATATTATTTATCTTTCATTTATACGTATCTATTAATTATTTTGAGATATAAAACAAAATGTGTAGTTGAAAAACCGCGATTCCTGTTAAATCATGAGCAGAACCCGAATTTTTCATCTCTTTTTGAAAGAATATTTTTATGACGTTTTGTAAATTATTTTAAAAACTTTTTAAAAATTATTTAGATATTTTAACACATGCGTGATTTGCATATAACGTTTTTAACATATCAGATATACATAAAATTTACATAAATTTTGCATCTTTTTATTACGTGAAAAAAAATCATAAATAAATATTTGCTTAAACGTTTCAACTATTTTTATACAAAATATTTGAAGTTTTATTTAAGAATTTTTGTTTTTTATACATCATATTTGGATAATTTTTGTAAATATCCGGGGTCTGGTCACAAAGTATTCTCGATTTGTCTAACGTAAGCACCGTCGAAACGCAACTGTGCACAGTTACAACGACAAAAGCATTAATGCAAATTGTTTAATTACTTCCGTGTCGGCGGCCTCCGACAACTCATCATCCACTTCGTCTTCTGCTTCCATATCACCTTGAGCTTAATGTAACGTGCATCGAGCGCAATAGGAACGTTCAGTTATACCCGCGAGAATCGTGCGAGAGGAAGCCTTACATCCCGTCGTCCCTTCGTTTCCCGGCGTTTACGCACGTTTCTGCGAATCCCGGAAACTCGAATCTGAAAGAATTGCGGTTTACTCATGACGCGATATATTTCGCTCTGATTATTTTATATTATACTTTCTATAGTTATTTACATTTTATTTCATATTTTATAATGTTGAAATATTATATTCCACCTCTTTGTAGTTTTATAACTCGCGGAGAACAAAAAAGCTCGTAGAAAATAAAAATTTGTCTAATGACGTCAATTAAATTAACAAATAAATAAATTATAAATAAATTCTCCTGTATTAAATTCAGGAACAAAATTTTTAAAATTATTGGTATATGAAATTGTGATTTTATTTATATACAAATGTTTATTTGCAATTTGCAAATATTAATGTAAATTTTTGATATTACATACAAATTGGTTTGACATTTTATCATTTTACATTTGATTTTAACAAAATCATAATATAATTCATAATTTTTCAGTCACTATTCCGAATATAATTTAGATAAGATTTCGCACAAAAGTGCTTTAAAATTTTATTTAATTATTTCGAATATATTTTCGATATTTATTTATAAATTTATTTATAAATATCGAGAATCGACGGCAATTCCATAAATTGCCAATTTTATCGGCAATTTGTATAATTCTCGCATGCGACGGGACCCTTCTTCTCTGCCTCGCATTAGCCCTCCCTTTTGCGCATTTTCTTCCTCTTTTGCCCTCCCTCCCCTCTCTCAAAAGCATCGAAGGCAACGACCCACCAGGGAAATCCAGGTCTAATCACTAAATTATGAAATTACGCGATTCAATATTCATGAAGAAACTACCAATCCGACGGCAACGTCTGCAATTCTCAACGAGAATAATCTCTTTGCATTAAGTCCCTTGTTAATACGTTTCCTGTCGATGATTATCCTTTTGTGCGTGTTTCTCGCTCTCCTAACTCTGGCATTTTATCCGTTAAATTAGAATCGAGACTGCGGATAATTGGAATGTCATGATGACACGCGTGGACACAAATACAATGCGTATTTTTACAAAGTTGCTATTATATTTAAGTACATTGATGCAGCAGCGCATCGCAGTTATTTTTATTATGAAATGCCGCTGCATATTTTTGGTCGTGATTTCAACCATGAATAAGCTATATATTTAAAGAATGTTTAAACATGTTTATTAGTTTTTATAAAATTGGAAAAAATTGAAATTTCTAAAAAATATAAAAATGTATACGTTTTTTATATCCATTTATAGGATAATATAAGATAAGTCAAAGTAAGCGAAAAGTGGATACGTCAATATTTTTTTGGGATCAATTTTACCTCTGCGAGAATAAGAAGTTAATGTTTGTCAGAAAGTTTGTAAGCTTTTGTAAGTTTTAATTTGTTATTCGACGTTTGAGATAATATTTTAACGACTTTTTGTTTCATATTTAGAAAAATTCATAATTTAATAATAAAACTTTTCTTGGTCACTTAAACGTTATTGAAGTTAATTTGCTAAAAGCTTTTCGTTTTTAATAGCTCGAAAACTATCAAGACGATAATGTGTTCTGGTAAACAAAAATCAAATATTCATAAAGATTAATTATATGTTTCGCCAATTTTCAATGTCTCTCATGTTACAATACTCTCCATATATTATAATTTTTCAGGTGTAATACTTTTAGAGTCAATTTAGTCATTTGAATTTGTTGATAAATTATTATTAGTACTTTGAATAAGCGTTTGAAAGAACTGTTTATATAACATTTTCTTCAACTAAGTTTTCCAAGAAATATTAATATATATTTTTAAATTACGAGTTTCTAAGTTTTGCGCATTAACCAAACGCATTGCTAAACGTATTTGTAATAATTTGTAATAATTTGGAACAAAATGCGTCACTAATTATTTAGACAAGAAGCGTACACGTTTAACAACTCATGGGGGAACTCAGTTGTTGTGCGATGTAACAATAACTTGATCGCTTACTTGCACAATATCTAAACAAATACGCCGACCCGACCAACACAAACACAGTCACCTGCATTGCTCACCTGCGGTAAACTGTTCGCGGGGATCGTCTTATAAATGCAGCACACCCGCGTGTCCGGCCCGAAATAGCCATCACTCTTGCAAAATGTCATTCGTGATTTTCTGCCGCACGTGAAAGCTTGCCGTCATCGCGTACAATCGAGTCCTTCGTCGGTAGTCACCACATTGAATAGACGTCATTTCAACAGGCCATAATATTCCCTAACGTCTCGTCACTATTTCTTTTTGAAGCGTGTGTCGTTGAATGTATGAATATAAAATTTCACAATAATCCTACACTTTCTCATTTTTATTCCATTCTCGATCTTTTCAAGGGGCAAACGTGTTCTTTTTACAATTTATATTTTTTTCAAATTCTTTAAATTGAACACGTCGAAGATGCATTCGTCGGTCGTTTTGCTCTCATGTTTTCCGTAAAGCATTCAATCGCGAAATCGACTGGACGGAACTGATTGCTCGTCGATGAAAGAGCGACCGTCGCCGTTTTCGCAAAATTCGGTGCCGCTAAACGCCGAAATCGTCGCCGCGCGATCACGCAGACGCATACTCGTAACTCGCGTATTTTTTTTCACGTTCAAGTTCGTCGCCGTTCGATATATCCGTTACGGTGTGTGTTTTCCGGAGCTTCTATCATTTGCGGACTTTCTCATCGCTTGGCGTTCACTTTTTCCCGTCGCTAGTTCAACGCTCGAATCCGACAACTTTGCGCCCCGATATTAAACGCAATCCCTTCTTTGCTCCGCTTTGATCTTTACAACTTTTATCAATCGCTTTATCGATGTTCATTTGTTTTCATGTTTTTTTATCACCCTATTATTTCTTCCTCGCTATACTTAAGAGTGCATTACGCGCGTTAATTAGCGGGAAACCAATCGAGCGATTAGAGCCCCTTTCCCCCGCAGTTGCGACAGGATCACCGTGATCACGCGTGATCGACGTGAGCTCTAAACGAGAGGATTCCCGGCCGCTTCCGGGAACGAGATCATCGCCTCCTCCGCACGCGGCTTCGATCGTCCCCACGTCGTCGGCCTCAAATAGAAAAGCCCTTCCCTCGCAATCTCCCCTTAGAAAATTATTTATCGTAGGATCGCACCGATTTCTCGCGCGCGGGACAAGATCAACGCGCAGCTCGATGACGCGCGATCGTCAACTCGAAACCGCATCGACCGGCACTTGGTCCTCGCGAGTTCCTTTTCTTTGTCCGCATTCTTCCTTCACCGGCGGGATTCGGCAAGATCGTCTACTTCGAAATTGACGGCAAGAAAACTCTTAATTCGTTCGACACACTGTCACTCATCGCCACCCCTCGAGAGATCACCCTTGTCCTGTCAGTGTCATTATTCAAGATCAGCTCGCTGACACTCGTTCGCGACTTTCGCTCCTCTCTTTTACACCTCTCGATTTTCACTGCAGTTCGTCGAAATATCGCAGGATTCACGATTGACAGCTCGACTCGAGGATATCTCCAGAATGATCGCTGCTGCGCGACAATCGCCAGCGTTATCGCGTGTCGATGCGTTTCGCGCCGGGACGCGACGCGACGTACGACAATGACAACGACGACAACGACGACGACAACGGCGGCGACGGCGACGACGACGCGGCGACAACGAACAGACCGGTCGAAAGCTCCGAGCTTACTGAAGTCTCTCTCTCTTTCTCGGGTCAGGCGGTGAGGCGTGTGAGGGGGTGTCCGCGGCGCGGAGCTCGGCTGGTTACGCGTCCGAGCCTCCCACGGCTCTTCTCTCCGCTCCGCTCTGCTCCGCGCACGTCTCGTACGCGCGCACTGCCGTCCACGTCCGCCTTGGGACGTACTACTATCTCCGCATCGAACGCGCGCGCTCGCAATACGGGCGCTCGCTGTCCGTGTATGTCGGTGACACGTGAGCCTCACGGACGCTTATCGTCCTCGTGGTGTGAATGTCGTTCGAGTACGAGGGGCACCAGTCCTCGCGGCTGCGTATGCGTGAAGCCTCGCGAACGCTTATCGTCTTCGTAGCTACGCTCCAGTGTGCGCAAGTCTCACGAACGCTTATCTTTCAGCTGGCACAGGCGAAGTTGTATCTATGTGTGGAGGGAGGGAGGGGAGATATCCTCTGCGTATATGTGCGCGCACGTGCGGCAGGGATACATTGGAGAAGGATACGCCGTCTTCTCTCTCGTGCGCGCTCTCTCGCCGCTCCGGGAAGATCGATAACGGCTGGCGGAGGGAGAAAGAGAGAGAGTGTCCCGGACGTACGTAGGCAGGCAAGCAGGCAGGCAGGCAGGCAGGCAGGCGGACAGGCAGGCCGGCAGGCAGGTAGGCAGGCAGGCAGCATCCCCTGCCGGCCCGCGAGATTTTCGGCTTCGGAATTTCGCGAGAGCGTCGGCCGGCGGTGCGTCGATATCCGATGATGCCGCGCGCGCTCGATCGATCGACCTGCCGTCGCATTTCGCTCTTTCCCTTTCTCTCTCTCTCTCTTTCCCTCTTGCGCGCGCTTTGCGGAAGCTAATGAGTGCGGGACCCCACTATTCGAACACCTGTGCCTAATGCGCGTTTCGGCGAAAATTAACTATCGACGTCTGTTATTATTAACGCACAGCAAACGCGCGCGGCGCCAGATTTCAACCCTCAAGTCCACGCGACTATTATGAAATTTTCATAAACTTCAGTATTATAGCATAAGTAGTGGTAAACTGGAAATCTTAAAATATAATAAACCAAACAAACTTATGGATTTCGATATTTGATGTGGTAATTGGAGTATTGAATATGTATATATTTGCATCGCAAAGTTTAAGAATCGATTTTCTAACGCAGAGACAATTCGTGTAATTTTTTTAATTACGTGCAAAAGTATTGAACTGTTATTGAATAAAGGAAATTAGTGTATTTTAATTCTAGCTCGATAGAAAAAAGAAGTCGAGGACTTCGGAGCAAAAATAGATTCTTATAATTTGTAAAATCTAATTTAAGCTTAACTTGACAAAGAAAATGTAGCAAACTTGTCCATTCCCGTTTCTACTTGTAATTAATTTTGATCAATGTAGAACGGAATAAGTAGCATGGTATGTCTTCGTAGCTGCTATAAACAGGATTTACATCGGCTAACGAGAATTGCGTGTCCTTCTCGCTCTTGATGCCATTATAATCATTTGGTATTACACGTAAGCCCTTATCAATGCTAATTGGCAATCGGTTCGCGTTAATGTTGCATGCTTCATTATGCAACATACGCAGGTACGTGCACCTAGCTTTGACGTACGCACATTCACGACGAAAGTAAAATCGGATTGCGTAGACGTTCTGTATAGGGTGTATTGCGTGTTCTTTTTGACGGATTCTTCAAATTGCGGTCGCCGTTTTTTTTCCCCTTTCAATTGCGAAAAATAGAACCATTATCGAACGCAATTCTCGATATTGAATACTTTCATGATTAATTAATCGAGCAGAGTCTAGACGAGATATTTGATTTGTCAACGTCAGTCAATCTTCACACAATTGTGCTGAATTTGAATATATTTTTAATTTCATGTACTTTAATTCCGCGTTTGGGTTTTTTCCTCGAGTTTCATTAAAGATATATCGATTATGCCAACTATGAGAAAATGCACGCTCTTTCCGAACACTCTATATACGAAAATATCACTCGATCCTTGAGAGATGTTCTTTCGAACAACAATGTAATTGATGCACAGGCCCGAAAACATGTGTTCTTTCTTGAAGCAATCTTGAATAAAATATATGATGATTATGCGGCTAAACGGTTTTATGTCTGGCCTCTTATTATTATTATCCGTGAGGTAGTTAAAATTTTTATCCTCGCGAAGAGATAATTAATATGACGTACCTCGCGCTCGTCCCTTTACGAAAATAGATCGATCGAGCGAGGGGACGTAGTATTTTCACGAGCTTCTACCACGACGAGATCTGACATAATCACAACGCCGAAATCTATGTGTTTACATACGTTCGTTATATAAGGATGAGAAATTAAATTACGTTCTGTGTTCCCCGTTTCTCGAGATCTTTTTTAGGACGATGTCGGCGATTGATTATCCTGAATTAAAAGCGAGTGTTTTCGTGAATGACAGACGAAATATAGCGTGGTTATTTAGCCGAGGCTGTTACGGCTTTATTTTCCCTTATTTGAGTTTTCTTTCCTTTTTTTTCATCTGTAATTTGTCCGTAATTTGACTTTAATCCCCATTCTAATTTCTGTACAGGATTAACGAGATTGAGTTTCTTCCTTTCGTTACGTAGATAAGACTTTGACAAAGTGTTCCTTTGCGAGAATTCGCGAAATCCTATCGTTAATTACAGGACTACCAGTATGCAAATACCGAAGTGATAGAGTTACTTCGTATTTGCGCAACATTTTCTAATCTAAAAGTTGGATTTAACATCATGAAACAATTTCGTATAAAAAATAGTATCACAAAAGCATAAAATGAAAGTAAAAAAACTATTTAAGGTATTTGAAACATATACTATAAATGTTAAAATAAATATTTATATGCAGACTTTTATCAAACCACGAAAATACGAAGAAGTTTTCGATTTTGTGTGCTTAAAAATTCCGATATTTTATGAAAATAAAATTATAAAACATACATTTTCTCTTACAATTCGGACTTTTGAATTGGAAATTTTCTTCTCTCTGTCTCTTATTCGATAATGCTGAAATATGAACGAGGATTCGGAGGATTTAGGATCTTGATGCTCTCGGCTCTTGAATTTTCAAGTTGTGCATGTTGGTCAGTCGTGCCTGCGGGGTCGCGTATCGCGGTAAAATATGTGCGGCACAGCCGATATGTGTAGGTGGACAGATTGTCAGGGACATCGACAATTGCGGGGTCTCCCTGGTCTCGTTGGATTCCGGCCAGAGTTATGGTTTCGAAAACGGAACGAGACGGGCGAAGGATGGAAAGAGAGAAGACAGCGACGCCGCGGGTTAAAAAAAACGCGCGAGAAGGGCCATCGAGATTTGATGCGCGCTGAATGACTCGTTAGCGATCACGAGGAGGAAAGAGGTCAGGGGTTGCGCGGGGGCGGGCATTAAATTCCGCGCTCAGGGTCGACGACGATGACGACGAGGGCTGCTGTGCGCTTTATCTCGGGGTTTACTCCACGATCTTTCATGCAACGTCGCGCCACTAATCTTCGCCACATTCGTGGAATACAAAGACGGGGAAACGGCGACCAGAATTTAGGGCAGTGCGCGCGCGAGAGAGAAATGTCTAAAGCTGAAAAGGCTTCTTCGCCGAAGAAGCCAATAAAGATACCGTTCGCGAAGGTCGAAAGAGCGCGTTGCGTTAAAACAGGAACAAATCATCCATGTTTATTTTAGAATTATTAAAATTACCTGGATTTTATGATTACAGAACTATTAAACAGAAAGCAATTACGCGTTACAAGATAAATGAGCAATTATTTAAAAATGAAAAAAATATGCACGAACACGACGAGTGGAATTTTCCTTATATTCCTTGTAATTACTTGACGATAATGTAATGATGTATGTGCAATGAAGAAAATTATATAAGATAAGCCGTCTCCGTTCTTCGTCTGTACGTCACGCGATTATTATTACTGGATATATTCTTTCGTATTTACCTTACCGGCACTACCTTCGAAGCTTTGCGTCACCAGACGAGGCCATCAACGTTTCGGCATGCGGGGGCGGTCGAATTACTGGACCATCATCGTGCTCTTCCATTAAATATACGTGGCGCTCTTTCGCCCTTTCAGTCGTTGACTTTTCGTCGTCGTCGTCGTCGTCGTCGTCGCCGTCGCCTGTGTTTTATCACGGTTCTCTTTACTTACCCTAGCACTGCTAACGACGTGGCCGAGAGAGTCTTTGTGCCGCGCACTTTGCGCGACGCGCTTTATTTCGTGCGGGATTAGAGTCGGACAGCATACCAACCACACATCGATTTTCTATTTATAGGATATAATTTAACCAGAGCCTTAATTATTGGCTCGCTACGACGTCCAGACAGAATTAACCTCTTCGACTAATTACGAAAGCATACCTATATAAAATGGTGAAAATGATTGTGTTCTCTCAGAGAAAATTGCGGATTAAATTAGGACAAGAAAAAGAGAAGCGAAAAGATATATCTTTTTGCAAAGTAGAGGAGATTGCCTTGTAAAAAGTAATAATGAATGATTATTTTTTCTCATTTTTGTCAAAAACTAATTGCCAAACTATATTTTTATTTATACTTAAATTTGCTGCTAACAAAGCCACTAATTCTTATAGCAGAAAGATAAAACGTTTTATCATCGATCAAAGATTAGTACATAACCATTTTTGTCAAAACGAATGATTATATCAACACACTTACAACATAAATTTGAGAACCAACGTCGAACGATATATTACGTTGTAGCAACAACTTAGCATCGATTAATTTATTAATAACGTTAATTATATATTATTAATAATTCAACACTGCCCTAAATTGATGTGCAATTTTTTCCGAGGGGTCCGCTTCATTTTTAGAAGAGTATGTGCGCGTATGCATACATCGGGGTTGCATTTAGCCTTTCCCCGGCGGCGTGCGATTAGTCCAACACCGCTGCTAATGACGACCGGCGTTGTTCACCGAATAAACCCCGGGGCGCAAAGTCACGCCCCATTTCGCTTCTCCCCGCGTGCTACGTTTACAAATCCCTCAAACACCACCGCTCGCCTGTTTACGTTACGCCTCCGACTTTTCTCAAGGAAAATAGAGTCGGGATTTATCTATGCGCTCTTGAACTTTTAACCAATATTTACGTTCCTTTATTCGGACAAACCGAAATCATTAGTCCGTTCAGAGAAAAATATAGTTGGAACGCCGCTCTATATAAATCGCGGAAATATATGTATAGGAACAATTCAATTTATACAAACAACATTGATATGCGGAGCAGAGCGTGAGCTTTCGATAAATAACGAAAATGAATGGAAAAACAAATATTTATTTAGTAATAAACAAGTGTATTATATTTTCAAAAGTCTAACCGGAGAAATCAAAGAAAAATAAAAGTACCAGAAGGAAAATGTAGATTATTTAATTTTTTATATTATTTTATACGAAGCAGGGCTCACAGACAAAAAAGTTGCTTGTTTTACAAAAATATCATGTTGTTAATATCAACATTTTTATATAACACATTTGATAAAATTGGTTTATAAAATATTGATAACAAATATTTCTCACCTAACATTTTTTTCATCAATAATTTGTAAATAATAAAAATATGAAAAACTATAAAAGAAAATAAGAGAGAATAAAACAGATAGAAAAAATACAGAAAATATGAGAGTTATTGAGAGAATGAGAGAAATTGAGAGGAAATAAATATTTAATGTTAAATAAATTTTAATATTTAAAACAATTTATAGTCAGATAAATCAACACACACACAATAAATAAATTTTATTAAATTGTATAAATATATATTTATCATATATTTCTTACAATATCGAATCAAGTAACAAATAAATAAATAATAAATTACTTATTTTAATGTTCTTCCATTAAATTAAAGGCCTTTCAGATTTCCTCTTTTTCTTCTCAATGATCCATTGGTGACTGCTCCTTCACTTAAAACCACAACAATTACGATTGTACGATATTTGGTATGAGATGAACCAATATTGACCACTCTACCGATGCGAACTTTGTCACATCATGATAAAGGACAAACTCGATAAACGTGTGAAATTGCTACGATCCGTTTGATATTCGCAAAAATAGACAATGACGATACAGGAAAATAAAAAAAAATTGTGTAGTTAATTTTGCATGGTATCTGTTGCGTTTAAGACATTTTACTATTTTGTATTATAACAAATTAATAAAACATATAAGTTATAATTAAAAATTTATGGAACAAAATATTCGAATCACTAATTGTAGAAGCTAATTAATTGCGCGATATGTGAATTTGACAATTATTCCTCGAAAATAATATTCTAATATTCGTAATAATAATAATATATTTGAAATGTATAATATAAATAATGATATAGAACGAGTCTTGTTGTCTGCGTAAATAAGATATTTTCATTTCAAAATGTTTATCTCATATTATAGCGAACGAATAAAATGTAGAAGTTACGATAAAAAATATATATTTAAATGAAATAAAACATCTGAGTCGCTAATCGTTAATTAAATTAGCGTTTTAAATCAATCATGCAAATGCAATCATGTTAAAATTAATCATGCAAACATTAAATCGGTAATTACTTTTAAGAAATAATCTTATAACATTTGTTGCGATTTCTATTGCTGCCTGCTTTGCTTGAAAGTGCGCATGGTAGAGATACGTTACGCGTAGACAACACACGTGTGTATGTACGTGTATCTTAGATCACCAGGAAAATAAACAAGCGCTGGTTACGTGCGAGTACCTAAATACTTAGACGTGCAACTCGGTTGTTGTTTTTGTTTTTTTGTGTACCTACGTCATAGCGTACGCGCGCTGTTGCTCGCGCGCTATCACCTTGCTTTGCTACCATTCGTACGACGACATTCAGACAAAGTAGACGGCAGTATAAATCATGTTGTATTCTTATATGTATATATATATATATGTATATTTAATTGTAACATGTATATTTTGTTTGTTTGTTACAAGACGAGATAAAATATTCTAAACACGCTTTGAGAAACGCAGATAAATTTTATCTTTTATATATACATATACATTCAGAAAGCATAGAAACTTTTAAAAGTACGTTAGATTTATTGTTAGCATAGCCGTGACATGCAAAATTAATTGTGTAATTTTCCCTTCTGCCGTTTGCTTGCCTGCTCCAGACGTCGCGAGTGTCGAATGATTTATAATTTTGTGCGATTTTATGTGTTTCTCGAGTTTTTTCTTTGTCATGTGACAAAGTTTGCGTTTATATATGTATATCGCTTAATCTCATATCAAATATTGCGCGATCGTAATAAGTCGTTATGCTTATAAGTGCAATGAAGGAGCAATCATCAATGGATCATTGAGGAGAATCTGAGGGGCATCAGACTTGAGGAACACATTAAGGTAAATAATTTATCATTTATTTATTATTTGTTCAGAAACTTTATGCGATCGAGCAATTCGAGCAATTCGATGAATATAACGGCTCGATACTGTAAGAGAAGCACACACGATATAAATATTTATAAAATTTAATAATATAATATAAATTTAATATAAATGAAAATAACAAATTTATTTGTGTTCAGTATGCAAGCAAATCATGTATATTCAGATTTGCATTTAGATTCTTTTTAACACACGGGATTCAATTTTAGAAACGCAATAGGATACGCATTGATCGACTACGATGTGTATGGCACGACGATCTGCGTAAGCTAATGACAAGTCAATGCTTGCAGCAGGTGCAGCGGCACCGTTAATGCAACGTAAGCGAATTTCCCTGTAGATTGAGTGCATTAATAAGCTTTCAGAGAGGAGCGAGGGGCGGTGGAACTGGCTGCATCGGTCGATCGATCGTTAGGTTGTCATTTTCCGCTATCGGAAACGCGCATTCTTTATCCGTCTTGTCTACCACTCCCATGAATTCAGCGAATTCCTGCTCTCCGATCCGAGGAACGTCGTCGTGCCACGGATGACAGCTCCGGGGATGTTGTTCAGCCAATAATTCACTTGGTTACTAGTTATATGACGGAGACCTGGTTCCGCATGGCGCGCTTAATTGAGAACACAATAACATTACCAGACGCTATTTCGCGGCGTCCAAAGGCGGATTTAACGATATTTGATGCCGCGCGGTTGTCTATTGAAGCGGAGACAATGTCTCGCAACACATAATTATATGGTAATCGCTTGTCGCGTATTGAGTCTACAAGAGGCGTAACATTTTAATAGATTTTTGTTAGTGATTGATCGGCAAACAAGCAAGTTACATTTATACTATGTATATATGATTATGTATATTTATATATACATAATTATTATCAAAAAGTAAATTATTTAAAAAAATTGTGCCAGATAAAGATTTAAAAATAAATTTTGTTGGACTTTTAAAATTTGTCAATAGAGCACTCGATCTTTTTCAAAGTGTTTTTTCCGTGTAGTTAATTATTAAAGAACAAAATTATATAACTATAATTTTTTGAAGATTTTAATTTGTAGAAATGATATATTGAATTCTTGTATTGAATTTTCAAAGCTTTTTCGGATTTATCAGTGTGATATTAGCTTACGAATGTTACTAAATGAATTCTATTTACCGTCAAAGATCGTCGTCGGAATCGTGAAATCTTTCATACGACGTGATCGGCTTCTGAAACGTGTCATAATCCTTCTGTTCTTCCTTTTTGATTAACAATTTCTTTCGTTCCAATGTGAGGTATATTAACAACGGACAGTACGCTATATTTACGATGCCCACGATGCGCATAACCCATGGGAATCCGACGGCTTTGACCATTTCGCCGCCCGTGATAGGTCCTGTAAAGATTGCAATTTATGGTTAGAATCTAAATATTTAAAATAATATATAAATTAATTATTAATCAATTTATATCTTTTAGAATATTCAGATATTGAATTTAGAAATTATCTCGAATAAGTCTAAGATAAATTTGGTTTTTATTTTAAAAACAAATTTTTTCGTTTACGAAATTAAGATATCAATTTAAGATTTAAAGATATGAATTTTATTTATATCTGAAATGTCTTAATTTTCTGGTTGAAATATTTTACCTAAAGAATAAGCCAAACTGACAGCCACTTGTTGAATCGAGTAAACTGGCCCATAATTGCCATTTCGGTCCACTAAACTAGCTAGCAGCGGTACTAGAGCTGCATCGGCGACGCCGATGCCCAAACCCATGCCCAAATGCGGGAATATTAGCTGCGACATTGTGTTTGCCGATGGTATGAGAATGGCACTAACGCCAACCACGAACATAGCCAGGATTGCCACTTTGCTGCGCCCATAACGATACGCTATCATGCCGAAGAAATTGGTCCCAATTAAGTAGCCCACGCTGTCCGGTATGAATACCGTGCCCAGTTGCCATTTCTGTAAGGGTCGTTAATTAAAGCAATGCTTCCCTACATTTTTCAAGAATTTGTGGAATTAGTCGCATTCAATTGGCATCGATTCGAACGTTATCTAGACACTTTAATTAAGTTTTGAACTTTTTTACGCTCCATTTAACGAACTTTAGCCGACTTTAACTGTAGTTTAATTGATTCCTGATATCTTGATAAGAATGCTTTGTTCGTTAATCGCAGCAGTGATTACAATATATATGCGATGATAGTACTTTTGCTGTATAATATTGGAAGATAATCAAAATTGATGATAGTCGTTAATTAAATTTTTTTATGAAATAATTATCACAAACCTTGGGTTTTATACGAGTCCGGAGCCAAATCGGCAAGCAAGGCTCCAGTATCGCCATCGGCGACGTAGAGCACCAAATAGCACCGGAGATAATGAGGATATGTGGATTAGATAATAAATGCATCCAGGTACTTTGTTGCTCGCTCGGCTGATGTATATAAAAAATGAGAAAACTTAATTAATCGTACATCAAAAATCGTACATTTGTATGTAAGATAAAAAAATAATTTGTTATATTTGAATCATAAAAAATATAGCATAATGTAAATGACAACATTAATACTAATTCAAGCTCGTAAAAAGTCTTGGAAGTGTATAACAGATTCTGGAATCACTCTTTGAGAGCGACTCTCGATAATTGCGCTTCGCGAAAAGCTCTCTCGTAAATTGCACATATTTCAAATTAGATTTTACTTTACGTTATTGAATTGGAAAAAACTTAACATGAAATGGCTCTTGGATATTCAATCGGAAGAAGTTTTAAAAAGAAAGTAAGAGCCGAACCGCGGATGCTACAACGTAATAATTTAAAAGCTAGCCTGAAGTAGCGTATAACTTTAATTAACGTATCACAAACATGGTTCAATTATTTTTCTGATCTTTTTTAGCAATACAATCATTAAAATGATTATTGCAACTAATTTTACATTAGTAAAGAAAATTAGAAATACGAACAGAAATGTTTGATACATTAAATAAAAATTTCGATTTACATGACACTCGGCTAATTTTATGATTACGTCTTATTATTATTCGAAATTTAGCTTTAATTTGTTTTATAATTTCTGAAACTAGATTTCACATAGTATTATAGAAAATTATTTTTTGATTATATTTTGTGTTGAACAATAAGTTTTGTACTCACTTCGACGTTTGCTTGAATATCTAATGTTAATATTTGCAGACCTGTGAAAATAACACGGTTCGACATTTCATTATTTTCGAATAGGCACGAACGGAAATTACTTTACAATTATGATTTTTCGTAAACCGCTTACAAATTATTATAACGATGAGGCAGGACACCAACAGAAAAGGTGCCATTTTTCCCTCGAGATCATAAAGCACGGAACCGATCGGATAGCCGAGGAGAACGCCCAGCGCGATGCTGCCGAGGACGAAACCCATGATTTTAGATCTTTCGTCTTCTTCGGAGTACTGAGATGCGACCAAAGACATGCCAGAGACTGCTATACATGCCGAGGCAATACCTTGAATGCTCCGGGCCAGAAACAGCACCTCGTACGTTTGTCCAAAGGCGAATACTGTGACAACAACGAGAAATCGAATTTGCAGAAATGCTGTTTGTTAATTTGCTTTCGGTGCTAAAATAATAAACAGTGTTTCCACAAACACGTATGTGACAATATTTAAACAGAAGTTTTATCTAATTGAAAATCGACTACAAAATAGAAATTAATTTAAGATAAACAATATTTATAATATTTGATAAATTGATTCAGAATATTTTTGAAAAATGTAACATGTAAATTACATAAAGTTTCTCCTTTTATCATATAAACTTTTAATATCGTTACTGATATCACAGACTTTCCGCGAATTGTGAAATGAACAAGATTCTATTTGTCGAAGGAAATGTCGATGCAATTAAAAGTGCCGTTCATAACTTACGCAAAGCAGCCAGCAAGAGGCTAAGATTTCCGAGAAAGAGGGGTTTAGCGTAGCCCAGGGTGCCGGTAAAAGTACCCACAGCGGGATTCAAAATTAATTGGACCAGAGCCTTCGAGCTCAACAGTAATCCTACTCGACCGTTTTCGTCCTCCGCAGTGCTCGCGGTTGTATTTGCGTCGAGCGTGCACAGATAATCGGGAATGATTGGCACTGAAACATTTTCCGAATCAGTGAATTGTTTAAATCCGAGACTCGTCCCTTTCTCTTTTTCTTAATTACCGACTACCGTCAATAGGACATTATCCAGGAAGAGGCTGAGATAGACCACCGCGACGGTGATCGCGCGACTGTTTTTCAGATCGCTCAATCTCATCCTTGATCATCGATCTCGATGTAGGATGAAAACAAGATCGATT